ATCTGAACTATATTCCGCCTAGGAAATGACTCAGAATCTGAGCTATATTCTGTCTAGCAAATGACTTGGAATCAAAGCTATATACCTTGTAGGAAATGACTCAAAATCTTAGCTTTATCCCGTCTGGGCTCAGAATCTGAGCTATATTCCGCCTAGAAAATGGCTTGGAATCTGAGCTATATTTCGTGTAGGAAAGGACTCAAAATCTGAGCTATATTCCGTCTAGGAAATGACACTGAATCTGAGCTATATTTCGTCTAGGAAATGGCTATATTCCTTCTTGGAATCTTATTAGCTATATTCCGTCTAAGAAATGGTTGTTAATCTCAAAAAATTGCTCAGAATATGATCTATATTCCGTTTTAGAAATAGCCAGAGTCGGAACTATATTATGTCTAAGAAAATGCTCAGAATCTGAGCTATATTCCGTCTAGGAAATCGCTCATAATCCGAAATGCATTCCCTGTATGTTCTACAGTAGTTAAGCTTTAACGCATTATTATTTTGTTTTACAAAACTTTATTTGGATCAAAATACAAACTTACAAAACAAGCGACAAATACAAATATATAGAAACATTAGACTTAATTGCGTTCATAGTCGCAAAATATTAACACTGAAATTAATTTGAAGAAGTCATGATATAGTTAGTAAAATAAAATATTTAGTCAATTGTTTAAAACAGTTATAATTACGGAAAAATATTGAACAAGAGAATTCATAATAAAGAATATTTAAAAATCATGCCAAGTATATTCCTTTACATCCAGCATCATTCTAGCTTTATGCGATTCCAAAATCCATGTTATATTAATTATTTGCAAATGTGATAAATTATCGGAAAATCTCTCCTTAAGCCAATCCAAAAATTTTGTTTTATCAAATTGCAGGAGATTAATGAAAACATAATTTATTTTGCTGTAAGACTCCGAATTTAAATTTCTATCATTCAAAACATTTCCTCCATGCCATTGATAACTTAATTTTGCCTTTTCCGATTCCGCATCGATTGTATAGAAGTAGGCATATTTATTACGGAACCAATTACGGTTAAGTTGTTTGTATATTAAGTTTTCCAATTCCAACAATTCTTCATCATCCAGATCAGGTACATCTTTATCTTGCATATGATCACATATACGTTTAAGTTCTTTGGATGAAACAAACTCCGTATAATGATCACCCCATTTATCACAGAACTCGCTGAAACGTTCTCTTAGATTGTCAGTCATGGACAACATATCACGTGGTCTTAATTTGAATTTCTGTTTCTCACAAATACGTAAAAACCAATCCATAGATACTATGTCATATTGTTGGGCTTTGCAAAGCATTTGCACGCGATAGGTTTTATCACCGGCTACCACTATGCAAGCGGGATTATTGGGTAAAGGATTGTCCACTACTGTGCCACCATTTTGTACCACCAAAGTTTTCAAATACTCGGGAGTATAGCCCCTATTTAGGGATGCACTTAGTATACAAACACTAAAGTCATTCAATAAATTTGAAACTTTTTCCACCTTTAAAAAGCGAGATATCCCTCAAATTAAAATAGTAAAGGACAAATACAATTGTTAAACTTACATTGGAGGGATCAAACTTCTTATTATATGCCTGCAAACCCAGATTACGTTTCTCAGCCGCTGTCATTTTCCTGCGTTTTACACGTTCTCCCGTAAAATCTTCTAAACTTACAGTTCTCTTAACGATCTTTTTGATGGCACCTCTACCAGAACTTTGTTTCAATTGGTTGTATTCCTCCAAAGACAAACATTCATGCCACAATTTATCATTACGCCAGGCTTGTATACGTGGAAAATGTAAAGCCATTGATAAAGCAAAAGCTCCTGAAGGATTTAAATCGGTGGCTTTAATTTGTAGAATAACAGAATTTCTGGGTTCTATCCAGGCATCCGGTCGACCTTCGGCATTTGTTTCTCTGTAATGATACCACAATGGTGGTGGCTCCTCCGTAGCTAAATGCCAATGTGGTTTTAAAGTGTTATTTAGGACAACACGTTGTGTGGTATTGTTGCTAACTTTGCCAATGGAATACACTTCGAATTGTTGAAGGGAAACGTACTTAAGAACACCCACCAGAAAGGATTCTACAAATGTGCGAGTACGATTGAAAAATGCACCGATTACCAACAGATCGAATTCAGTCGTTAAACCTTCTATATACTACGATAAAATAATTTAGAAAAAGGTTAGGATTCATGTAAGAAATCCGGAATTATATTCCGAATAGAAAATAGTTCAGAATCAGAACTATATTCCGCCTAGAAAATAGTTCAGAATCTGAACTATATTCCGCCTAGAAAATAGTTTAGAATCTGAACTATATTCCGCCTTGAAAATAGTTCAGAATCTGAACTATATTCCGCCTAGAAAATAGTTCAGAATCTGAACTATATTCCGCCTAGAAAATAGTTCAGAATCTGAACTATATTCCGCCTAGAAAATAGTTCAGAATCTGAACTATATTCCGCCTAGAAAATATTTCAGAATCTGAACTATATTCCACCTAGAAAATATTTCAGAATCTCATCTATATTCCGCCTAGAAAATAGTTCAGAATCTGAACTGCATTCCGCCTAGAAAATAGTTCAGAATCTGAACTATATTCCGCCTAGAAAATACTTCAGAATCTGAACTATATTCCGCCTAGAAAATAGTTCAGAATCTGAACTATATTCCGCCTAGAAAATAGTTCAGAATCTGAACTATATTCCGCCTAGAAAATAGTTCAGAATCTGAACTATATTCCGCCTAGAAAATAGTTCAGAATCTGAACTATATTCCGCCTAGAAAATAGTTCAGAATCTGAACTGCATTCCGCCTAGAAAATAGTGCAGAGCCTATTCCAATTTCACGTCTAAAAATAATGGAATACTTACATCTGCTTTAACCTTATACCATCCACTACCATTCCTACGTCCTGGTGCGTAAGCCGCCCTCTGTTGTTTCAACACTACACCCTCTTCATGTTGATCCAGAGCCTGTTGAAATTTTTGCTTAAAATCTTCCGGCGAAGTTACCTTTACACTTTTCATTAGCTGCAAAACACCCTCCTGCTCCTTAAACAAATGCTTCAATTTATGCATTCTTTGTATGTAGGGCATTTTCAGCATTGATTCACCATTCCAAAACAACAGATCATAGACCACAAAACAAGGTTGACAATTGCGGGCATTATTCAAATTTTTAACATCAGTATTTTCACCCTTTTCATGGTACTTATTATGATAGGTATTCCACACCATCATTTCACCATCTAAAATTACGGAAGTCATACCTATGGGTAAAAGATGCTGAAGTTTCGAGGTCAATTTATTGTCCTCATCATAACAGGAACCAAAGCTGTGCGTGTAATCAATGCCTTTGCGGGAGAAATATTTAAAACGATTATTTTGATAATGTAACTGGAATCTTTCACCATCCATTTTAGTTTCCATATATAAAACATCATTGGCCATTAGATTTTCTATATTACCAGGAAATACTTCACACAGCTGGGGCCTGATGTATTCAAAAGGTTGTATGTTGACGGGTAAATCTAAAGCTCCTAGTGCAGATGTAGTTGAGGGTGCGGTGGTGGCTAGATTGAATTTATTATCAGCAATATTGCAACATAGTTTAGAGAGATTGGCGCATATTTGAAAAAAGGCCTTGGCCTGTGGATGTAATATGCCAAAAATACGTTGATCTCCAATACCCAAATGCATAGATTTTAATAGAAGTCGCACAAACCACATTTGTTCTTCAGCCGAGGCAGTTTCAGAGAGTTGTATAAGAACTTTTTCGGTATCTAAGGGAATGAAAGAAATGTGTAAATAAGAAAGCTGTCCAAAAATAGTCCATAATCTGAGCTACTTTTCGTCTGGGAAATTGTTCAGAATCTAAGCTATTTTCTGTCAAGAAATTATTTCAGAATCTGAGCTATTTTTGGAATAAGAAGTATACCAGAATATAACATATATTCCTTAGACAGATACTTAAATTTACATCCACTTACTTAGTCGATTTTCATTTGCTATAGTATCCAACATGTCATGCACTTGTTTTAGCGTTAAATTACTGGGTTGGTGGCTGCAACGTGGCTTTAGGACCCTATAGACCCTCTCGGCATAGTCACCACGAAATCCATTAAAATTGCGAGCTTCTAGAATTTCAGCATCTCTTGCTATAAATAAAAAAAATTGACTTTATGTTCATATGTAGTTTAAAATTAACTCCACTCACATTCCGAACCCAACTGTAAAATCTTAATAAACACCTTACCCAAAGAGGGTATTTGTAGGCCATAAGGAGGACGTGCCATATCGGCATTTGGTATCAGACATCTTAATACACAATAGAAACTGCTGCGACCATCCTTAATTTGACGAATATAACAAATATTTAAAACCGGTAATTATTTCAATAAAAACAATCACAAACCTCTTCCATTTCGGGTTTCCATTGCTGCTGTTCCCTAAATTTTTCTCGATGTTTACAAAATGAATCATAATATTGTTTAACAATTTTTGCTTTTTTATCCTTATTCTCATATTCTTTAATTTTATTTAACATAGAACATATATCACGAAATTTAATTGTATCTGCTATTTCCATTTGGTCCAGGAGGCGTCAAGTGGTTAAAAAATAATAATAAAACTGTGATGAAATTAACTTTTTTTCGTCTTGTTTATAAACAACAGCTGGTTCTGTTTACATTTGTTGTTGCTTTTTAATGTTAAATTAAGGAGTTGCCAGTAAGCGATGAATATAAAAGACTGTTACAATATATTTTGTAGTTTTAGCTTGAATTGTTTTAAATTTTATAGCAAAATTTTTCCAAAAATAATTTCTTATTTTGTACATTTAAAATATTTCAAAGTGTAGTCTATTTACTACACAATTTCTAAAAAATATCTATCTATTATATATACATCCGGCACTTCTGTTTCCAACTGTCATTGTGGTGTAGCAACGCCCTCTGGCACGTGTTGTTTTGGTTTTTTGACATCATTTGTCACAAACATAATATTTATTTTCATTCATTCACAAATATTCTCATTTCGTTAATTTAAGTGTTAAATTTTGTTCTAATATAGAAAATATACTAATTAAAACTAAATTTACCTTAAGTACTTGGAGCTTGCGCACCGCGGGGTGTGTTATAGCAGCAGTCAAAGGCAAAGAAAGTAAAAGTTTTAGTGAAAAAATCACTTAATTATACAATCGGTCATAAAGAAATAAAAAATTCGCAAAAACGGCTTCTCGAATTTCTTTGCAATACAATAAAATGTTGGTGATTTTAAGAGCTGCCTTAAAAAATGTTGCTAAAACAAATGCTGTGAGAGTTATAAAGAAATTCCATCACAAAGCTTTCAGTGATAAATATTTGTTACTAACAAACGTTACCATTTCCCTGAGTCTCAGTTCGGCCGGAGATGTGCTAGAACAGCAATATGAAAAATACTGTGGAGAAATAGAAAAATGGGATCGTACTCGTACATCCCACATGGCCGTGTCCGGCATGACAGTGGGTATTATCTGTCATTACTGGTATCAATTTTTGGATGCCCGTTTGCCAGGCCGTTCTATACGCATGGTTGCAAAGAAAATTTTCCTGGATCAGGTTATTTGCTCGCCCGTTTATATCTCCGCCTTTTTTGTTACTTTGGGTATCTTGGAACGCAAGTCTGCGGAAGAAGTGTGGGAAGAAATGAAAGAGAAAGCCTGGAAATTGTATGCTGCTGAATGGATGATTTGGCCGGTTGCACAATTTGTTAATTTCTATTGGTTACCTTTGAAATATCGTATATTTTATGATAATATTATAAGTTTAGGTTACGATGTTTATACTTCACAAGTTAAACATACAAATTAAAATTCAAATTATATAGTTTTTATAAAATTATTTTACTTTGTTAAATTTAGGAGTGTGTAAGTGATTTTTCTGCAAAAAGAGGCTTTGCTAGAGAGATGGTTGTGTTTTTAATTTATAATTTTAAACCCAAAGTAACAAAATACCTCAAAATACAATAGATATACAATAGATTTAACGAAACCAGTGTATTTATGTTGTATAGAAAACCCTGATAAACAGTTAAACTGTTGTAAAATCTTTTTGGTAAATTTTTTAAAAATAAAGAAGAAAAAAACTACAAAAAATTTAATTCCATAATTAAATTAGATAAAAGAAAAGTAAGTTTTACTATCTAGAAAATTGTCGAGAATCATAAATGTTTACTCTAGAATCAAATTGTAATAATTCATACTATTTTGCATAAAAATAATAAACAATCATATTTTCTTGCTTCTTGGCATTCTTCTCTCTTTATTTCTTTTCATAATAACCACTAATTTGTTCATGTTTTCATTAATTCACATTTTAATCCAAATAATACTAATTTTTGCGATTACCACGTCTACGCATTGAGGCAGTACACTTAGGACAATACCATTTGCCTTTGGGCGGTTGTGTTATGCCCACACAAGGATAATGAAACCATTCATAAGGACAGGCGTCATTATCACAAGCCACCATATCGCCATAGCTCACTTGATTACAAGTACAATAGCGTGGTTCATTAGGATCATAGGACCACTCTCCCTCCGGCGTCTGCTCAACAACCATACCATTTTCATTGAGAGTAATATTTGAGCCTGGTGTTAAAGCTGTTGATGTGGTAGATGAATTAGATAAGGAATTTACTGAAGAAGTGGAATTTAAGGCCGCCCTATTAGAGGAAGCTATACTAGATGAACCGGCAGTTGAAGATGAAGCTGTAACGTGTTGTCCAGCTGCTACCAAAGAAGGAACATTAAGGTTGGCCGTACTACCTGCCAGCATATCGACCGAGTCTACACTTAACGATGAAGACGAAGAGGCTATACTCAAGGCCGAGGGCGTGGTTGTGGGCGCAACATTTGTTGAGGCTACTGTATGTGCCAAATTGGTATTTAGTTTTCTGTAATTTCAAATAAAAGTTAATAATTGATATATTTTAAAGCAAAAGGTTTGTAAATACTTCTGAGCATACTTCTTCTTGCTTTTCTCTGACGAACTGTTACCAGTTAAACCAGCGGCAGAGGCAGCAGCTGCGCTAGCTAAATCACGGCTAATCCAAAATTCTGTAGGACCTCCACCTGCTCCATGGATGGCCTCATAGCTGGCTTTTAAACTGGCAGTACGTCTACCCTGTTGCATCTGTTGAGTGGCTACTATGGCCTGAGAAGCAGCCGCCGCTATTGCCGTAGAAGCAGAACCACCAATTTGTTGTAGATTATAAGCAACTGCCGAGGGTGTACCTACGGCTGCAGTAGCTGGGTTCAACACTGCACCCATGCCTGGTGTTATAGGTCTTACCACTGCCACGGGCGGAGCACCTGCGGGCAAACTATTGCCCAAATTAGCTCTTTTCTCAGGAACAGCACTTTGCAAAGTGGAAGTGCTGTCCCTTCTCTTCTCCGGTTTGGGAGCACGATAACGATTATCTTTAGTGGCCCCTGTAGGAGTAGCTGGCACTGTTATACCACCCATACCGATGCCGACAGCTCCGCCACCCATGACAGCACTATGGCTATTACTGCCCGAAGGAGCCACAGCTGCACTGAGCCCGCCATAGTAACGATTTTCTTTTTGATTTAAACCTGCAACACTTAATAAAGCTGTGGCCGCACTACTGCCACCGTCCATTTCTAAAGAGCGCTTCTCCAATATTTCCGTTATACCATTGTTATCAGCCTCTAGTTCACATTTAAACTTAAATAATTCACTATCCAAACGTCTTAAATAACGTTCCACTAGTTCGTGTATCTGTGTGGCTATAGTAACTTTTTCATCGGCGTCTTCTAAAACTTTGTAATATTCTTTACGCAGGTTTTGGAATTCAGTATCGGCCAGTTCTTCTTGCAAATCACCACGTTTGCACTGCACGAAAAAGGATCTGGTTTTCTTTTCTAAAGAATCCATGCTGTCTAAAAATAAAAAAATTAAGCGTTAAACAATAACAAACGACTTAAAAATCATTCCTACTCTACTTACTTTGTACCGATAAGTCCAATTCACGCATTTCGGTAAAACGATCCCTTAACTCTTGCGGCAAATGCTCAATCACTGTAATTTATTAAAAAATATACGCAAAATTAACAAAAATTTCCCTTTGTTTACTTTTTTCTCAACATAAACACTTCATTTTAACCTCAATTTGTCGGTTTGTTTATGTTTACACATTTTTTGTTGTTGAGACTCCGCTAGTCATGTTTTGACGGAGCACCCTTTTTTGTTTAGCATGTTTTTGCTTTAGCTGCTTTCAACTTTTCATACTTACTTTCCAAATAGTCTTCTAAGTACAACATTTTGTTGCTTTTTTCTGTTTAAATTTTTAATCTATATAATATTTTAGTTAATTCATTTAATTTTTATAAGAATTTTTAATAATTTTGCAAAAATTTCACGGAGCTAGAATATTTTTCGACTGCTTCATTTGACAATTCTCTCTTCAATGAAAAACACAGGGATGCTTCAAATAGTAACTAGAATTATAGCATTTCTAATAGTGGTTGCCAGATAGATCTAAATATGCATTTTGAGCAAAATCGGAATTAGTAACGGTCATAATTGTTCTTTTCCTAGAAAAATGTGTAATTCTGTGTATATTTATGTAAAATTTGATGATGGCAGGTAAAAATGTGTAAATTAATCACAGGTAATAAAAACTTTGTTCAGTTTTAGAAAATTTTTTGAAAATAATGTATTTTACCTACATTAAAAATGAATACAAAGTCTTAAGAACTATAACAATTATTAAATTTTTCAGATTGTGATATGAAATTAAATAAATCACAAAATTATTTTTCTCAATATATTATTATATTATATTTCTCAAGTAAAAATATTTGTCTCATTCATTTCTTCATTCCCCGAGATATATTTTTAAAATTAATTATTTTTATTCTTTAAGGATTTTATTTTTTTAATATTAAATTTTTTCATCCCTAATATGTGAACTGAACCATTTTAAAGGCCCAAATAGCGGCTTGACAAACATACCAATATTTTACGTTTGTGCAAGCCTGTTGTGTAGTGTATGAGGGTGTATCGTGTTTGTACAAATGCTTGCTGTTCGTTTGTACAAAAATTAAAAAAAATTGATTTTTACACAAATATATTGAATTTTTGTCAAACCGTTTGTATTGTTTATATTCATTAACAAAAAAATTTTCACAAAATTTCCATTTCTAATAAAAATTTACATCTGAACCTTTGCAAGTCCACAAAATCGTGAAAAAATCGGTGTTTTTCGAGCAATATTTGTGTAGTGTGTGTGCGAATGAAAAAAGTATGTTTGATAAGCCGCTTGTGTAGTCTATTTGGGCCTTAAAATATTTCATATAATTTTATATATTTTCAGGAATGTTTACTATTTTCAGTTTTATAGTGATTTTTAACTGTAGGAATCAAAACTAAAATTAACGTATCATCATTTATTGCACATGTACTGTTATTTTCGCCATTTCACAAGCAACATACGTATTTCTCATCCATCTGGCAACATGAACCCTTATCAAAAATGCTTTAATAGGTGAAAAATCAACCCTGTGTTGTAACCACAAATGTAAGAACAAAACAAAAAACACAATAACTGAAAACGTAACCCCAGGATCTGATAGGAAATTGTATCTGTTTTTCTTGTCTATTTGTGTAACCAAAAAAATATTGTACATTCGTAATATCCTGACGATACAGTATTCGTCATTTTGCTATCATTCGTGTCGGCCAGAATAGAAACAAGGATAGTAAATGCTCTTCTCTCAATAATTAAAACTATTAAAAAGAGCCGTCCTGTTTATAAGAGAAAAAGTTAATTTAACTATTAATTAAATTAATTTATTTAAAAAAGCAATTTTGCATTAAAAATAAAGAGCAATTTACTTCATAGTGATAAAAAAAAGGAAAATATTTCTATAAAACGTCAAATGAAAAGTTTTTTTTTGGGAAAAAAATAAATTACAGGAAAATTTAGTGATTTTTTTGTGTTTTCAAGTGATAAAAATCGTGTGTATAAAAAAACAATTAAAATTTTTGTGTACATTTAAGGAATATAATTTTAATGTTAAATGTTTAATTTTAAAAGCTTTTGCTTGTTATTAATGAAATAAGGCGTCCAATAAGAGGAAAATTTTTGTGTAAATAATGTCTAAAGTTTTATTGCCACAAAAGGCACAACTAAAACAACAACAACTACAACAGCAGCAGGAAAATTCTACAACTACAAAACCCAAAATAATGATGGCTTCATCAACACAAATAAAACTTTCCAAAGAAACACAAAATCTGCAAAATTTTACCACACCCAAACAAACCAACAGCGAAAAGTTTCCACAGCCGGCCTCGCCTTCGGGCACTATTGACTTTGATGATTTCACCTCCAGCAGCAGTATTATGGAATTTCTTAAACAAGAACAGAAATGTGGAGGCCCAGATGATTTAAGCAATGGCCACGACAGTGAAATTGATGCTGAAAGTATTTTTCAAGAAGTTTCTCGCTTGGCGGACAATTCTGATACACGTAGTGTTGATGAATTGTTGCGTGAGGCGGAACTGCTGCTGCAGCATCATCATTTTATGGATAATTTTGCACAAAATCCCAAAAAGAAAAACTCCAAACCGGCACAGGCCTTAAAGACCCAAACACAGTCAACCATACAAATGAATTCGAAATATACTAAGAGTATTGAGAATGTTAAGCCTCCTAATATGGTAAACAAGTTAATCAATGGCTATGTAGATCCCACCCCCGAAACTCCCACCCCTACAAATCCTTTATCAACTGGCAGCAATAATAATACCTTTAATGCTTTTGTTGATAATTTACCCTCGGAATCGGTGTTGTCCGAAGAAAGTGTGCCTCTGGATCTGCAAGGCACTACCACCGCCTCGGTAAAATCCTCGTCGTCCAGTAATAATACCACCGGCAAGGATATTACCACCAAACAAATGGATGGTGATGATACTGATGATGGCACTGATACGGTAAGTTTAATTTCAACTAATTTTGAAACTATTCTTTTGGTATGCCTCCGGTGGTTTAGTTATTAGTGTTCTAGACAATTAGACTGGCGGTGTTCGTTTCTTACCAGAGACATTGGTAAGAGAAGTGCATAACAGGCTCGATGGAGGTCTTCATTCAAACTAATTAATTAACTAACTTAAGCCTACTTTTTGACTGCTTGCTAAATGTAATTGTTTATTTTAAAAGTTTGTTTTGGCTTTGATTTTAAAGCATACTTTTGGGATGCTTATAAATTATACAGTGGGGAAAATACTTGCTTTTGCTTTTTAGTGTCATAAAAATAAACTGAGTGACAAATAACAATTGACAAAAACTGCATTTTTTTGTTTCGTTGGATCCCTTGTGTGAATAGTTTGTTATTTTTGTAGCTTATGCATTTTAATGCATTATAAATAAACAATGCTTTGTGCTTTAGAATGGAAATGTTTTTTTTTTTTTAATTTCTACTATATTGTAGACAGGAAATTTATTATGGGAATTAATTTTTGAGATTGTATTATTGTAGTTTATTTGCATTAAGGATTATTATGAGTTTTTAAACAAACATTTTAGTTCCAAATTACATCCTGAAACATTCTCTATCCAGTTCATTCAGAAATCTAGCACCTAACCATTTAAATATAACAGCAAAAACTATACAATAATATAGTTGAGGGTTCTGCATCAATATCCAATCTTAGAAATTGTGCTACTTCAACTAGATATGTCCATAAATCCAATGGTCAAAGTGAAACCTACTTCACTAGGCGTGATCAGTAGACATTAAGTCTGTTGCTACATCCTGATTTTAATCGAGTCTGCTACTTGCGGTAGGCTACCTCTTGGATCTATAGGATCCATTTGCATAAAAATGTTCCAAATCAATTGTCCTAAAGTTAGATCACAAATTTTGATCATATTTGAGACTTAATAACTGAGCGAAGATATATACATTTTGTTCGAAGTGAGGAGTTAAATTACAACAAATCTAACATTACCTTTAAAAGGGTTCTAATTGTTCCAAAGTTTTCATTTAGACCAGATTAAACACTTACTAAAACTAAAAGAAAAAATCAATTGATAACATTTTTATTACATTTTTATTTCTCTTAAAATTACATACATAAATAATTTAAAATAATTTAAATAATTCATTGTTTTTTATTATAAAATCTACAAATAATATTGTATACTAATACAGTTTTTACTTAAACGCAAAAAATAAGAAAATTAACTTAGAAGAAAAAAAAGTACACTGGCATTTAATTTTTTTCCCTAAAAACTACGTAAACGAGTTAGGTAACCTCACTAAACAATAGCTTGGGCAACGGTATCGACAATGGTATAGCCCTCTAGAGCAGTTTCCAGAATTTGATTAGGAGGTAAAACAAAACCAAAATTACCACGATCTCTTAACTCAATCGTATAAACATATTTTGTACCCAAAGCAGCACGAGTCCAATCATCAGAACCGCCACCAGCAATACCCAATACCTCATGGGTAACGGAGGCACGATAAACCGAACCGGTTTTCTTTTCTATACGCTGAACAGCAGTATTGGCTACACGCTGTAATGCGGGAGCATCTTTCACCTTGACGGCTTTATAAGCCCAGGGATAAACCATCATTTGACCATAACTGTGATAGGTTAGATAGGCCTCTAAATTATATTTTCGTTTACTTAAAAATTTCACCACAGCATCGGTTTCCAATTCCGAACCAGGTGAAGTGCCACGATAAGTATCACTACAGGGATTGTTCGAAGAACCATAACCATTCCAACCGATATCAAAATTACGATTTAGATCAACACCCAAACAGGTGGAACGTTTGGAAGGAGAACGATTCTTACGCCATAAACGATTAACATTGCGACTGTAAACATAACCATCAGGATTCATAACAGGCATAATATACCAGGTTTTTTTCACGTATATAATCGGGTTGTTCAGCCCATTTCGACATCAATTGGTAGAGTATGAAAGTGACCGTGGCCGGACTAATCCATTCACGTGCATGAATACCACCATCAATCCAGATTTTCTTATAATCACGGGGATTTTCGGAGATTCTGAAAAAGGGGAAAATAATAAATTAGATTAGATTTGCGTCTTTTAAATCTGTATTTTTTACTTAATGCTTATTTGTAATCTAGAACTGAACTAGAACTGACTAGAACTGAACTAGAACTGAACTAGAACTGAACTAGAACTGAACTAGAACTGAACTAGAACTGAACTAGAACTGAACTAGAACTGAACTAGAACTGAACTAGAACTGAACTAGAAACTGAACATAGAAAGAACTGAACTAGAACTGAACTAGAACTGAACTAGAACTGAACTAGAACTGAACTAGAACTGAACTAGAACTGAACTAGAACTGAACTAGAACTGACTAGAACTGAACTAGAACTGAACTAGAACTGAATAGAACTGAACTAGAACTGAACTAGAACTGAACTAGAACTGAACTAGAACTGAACTAGAACTGAACTAGAACTGAACTAGAACTGAACTAGAACTGAATTAGAACTGAACTAGAACTGAACTAGAACTGAACTAGAACTGAACTAGAACTGAACTAGAACTGAACTAGAACTGAACTAGAACTGAACTAGAACTGAACTAGAACTGAACTAGAACTGAACTAGAACTGAACTAGAACTGAACTAGAACTGAACTAGAACTGACTAGAACTGAACTAGAACTGAACTAGAACTGAACTAGAACTGAACTAGAACTGAACTAGAACTGAACTAGAACTGAACTAGAACTGAACTAGAACTGAACTAGAACTGAACTAGAACTGAACTAGAACTGAACTAGAACTGAACTAGAACTGAACTAGAACTGAACTAGAACTGAACTAGAACTGAACTAGAACTGAACTAGAACTGAACTAGAACTGAACTAGAACTGAACTAGAACTGAACTAGAACTGAACTAGAACTGAACTAGAACTGAACTAGAACTGAACTAGAACTGAACTAGAACTGAACTAGAACTGAACTAGAACTGAACTAGACTGAACTAGAACTGAACTAGAACTGAACTAGAACTGAACTAGAACTGAACTAGAACTGAACTAGAACTGAACTAGAACTGAACTAGAACTGAACTAGAACTGAACTAGAACTGAACTAGAACTGAACTAGAACTGAACTAGAACTGAACTAGAACTGAACTAGAACTGAACTAGAACTGAACTAGAACTGAACTAGAACTGAACTAGAACTGAACTAGAACTGAACTAGAACTGAACTAGAACTGAACTAGAACTGAACTAGAACTGAACTAGAACTGAACTAGAACTGAACTAGAACTGAACTAGAACTGAACTAGAACTGAACTAGAACTGAACTAGAACTGAACTAGAACTGAACTAGAACTGAACTAGAACTGAACTAGAACTGAACTAGAACTGAACTAGAACTGAACTAGAACTGAACTAGAACTGAACTAGAACTGAACTAGAACTGAACTAGAACTGAACTAGAACTGAACTAGAACTGAACTAGAACTGAACTAACTGAACTGAACTAGAACTGAACTGAACTGAACTAGAACTGAACTAGAACTGAAAGAACTGAACTAGAACTGAACTAGAACTGAACTAGAACTGAACTAGAACTGAACTAGAACTGAACTAGAACTGAACTAGAACTGAACTAGAACTGAACTAGAACTGAACTAGAACTGAACTAGAACTGAACTAACTGAACTAGAACTGAACTAGAACTGAACTAGAACTGAACTAGAACTGAACTAGAACTGACTAAACTGAACTAGAACTGAACTAGAACTGAACTAGAACTGAACTAGAACTGAACTAGAACTGAACTAGAACTGAACTAGAACTGAACTAGAACTGAAGAACTGAACTAGAACTGAATAGAACTGAACTAGAACTGAACTAGAACTGAACTAGAACTGAACTAGAACTGAACTAGAACTGAACTAGAACTGAACTAGAACTGAACTAGAACTGAACTAGAACTGAACTAGAACTGAACTAGAACTGAACTAGAACTGAACTAGAACTGAACTAGAACTGAACTAGAACTGAACTAGAACTGAACTAGAACTGAACTAGAACTGAAGAACTAGAAACTGAACTAGAACTGAACTAGAACTGAACTAGAACTGAACTAGAACTGAACTAGAACTGAACTAGAACTGAAACTAGAACTGAACTAGAACTGAACTAGAACTGGAACTAGACTGAACTGAACTGAACTAGAACTGAACTAGAACTGAACTAGAACTGAACTAGAACTGAACTAGAACTGAACTAGAACTGAACTAGAACTGAACTAGAACTGAACTAGAACTGAACTAGAACTGAACTAGAAACTGAACTAGAAATGAACTAGAACTGAACTAGAACTGAACTAGAACTGAACTAGAACTGAACTAGAACTGAACTAGAACTGAACTAGAACTGAACTAGAACTGAACTAGAACTGAACTAGAACTGAACTAGAACTGAACTAGAACTGAACTAGAACTGAACTAGAACTGAACTAGAACTGAACTAGAACTGAACTAGAACTGAACTAGAACTGAACTAGAACTGAACTAGAACTGAACTAGAACTGAACTAGAACTGAACTAGAACTGAACTAGAACTGAACTAGAACTGAACTAGAACTGAACTAGAACTGAACTAGAACTAAACTGAACTAGAACTGAACTAGAACTGAACTAGAACTGAACTAGAACTGAACTAGAACTGAACTAGAACTGAACTAGAACTGAACTAGAACTGAACTAGAACTGAACTAGAACTGAACTAGAACTGAACTAGAACTGAACTAGAACTGAACTAGAACTGAACTAGAACTGAACTAGAACTGAACTAGAACTGAACTAGAACTGAACTAGAACTGAACTAGAACTGAACTGAACTGAACTAGAACTGAACTAGAACTGAACTAGAACTGAACTAGAACTGAACTAGAACTGAACTAGAACTGAACTAGAACTGAACTAGAACTGAACTAGAACTGAACTAGAACTGAACTAGAACTGAACTAGAACTGAACTAGAACTGAACTAGAACTGACTAGAACTGAACTAGAACTGAACTAGAACTGAACTAGAACTGAACTAGAACTGAACTAGAACTGAACTAGAACTGAACTAGAACTGAACTAGAACTGAACTAGAACTGAACTAGAACTGAACTAATGAACTAGAACTGAACTAGAACTGAACTAGAACTGAACTAGAACTGAACTAGAACTGAACTAGAACTGAACTAGAACTGAACTAGAACTGAACTAGAACTGAACTAGAACTGAACTAGAACTGAACTAGAACTGAACTAGAACTGAACTAGAACTGAACTAGACTGAACTAGAACTGAACTAGAACTGAACTAGAACTGAACTAGAACTGAACTAGAACTGAACTAGAACTGAACTAGAACTGAACTAGAACTGAACTAGAACTGAACTAGAACTGAACTAGAACTGAACTAGAACTGAACTAGAACTGAACTAGAACTGAACTAGAACTGAACTAGAACTGAACTAGAACTGAACTAGAACTGAACTAGAACTGAACTAGAACTGAACTAGAACTGAACTAGAACTGAACTAGAACTGAACTAGAACTGAACTAGAACTGAACTAGAACTGAACTAGAACTGAACTAGAACTGAACTAGAACTGAACTAGAACTGAACTAGAACTGAACTAGAACTGAACTAGAACTGAACTAGAACTGAACTAGAACTGAACTAGAACTGAACTAGAACTGAACTAGAACTGAAC